CCTGTCAAATTAAACCTAAACAATTAAGAGTATTTTGGTGAAAAAGTCAGTGTCTCTGGCTTCTGAATAAGTCTGTTGTGCGGAGTACAAGTAGCTGTGGTAATGCTAACTTTGAATGAAGGAGAGAAGTTGTGGAACGTACAGCTGGATGCACGATATATCAGGCCGATAAATTATTGGCCGATAATGGGACATTTATATAATTTTGCATTATTCCAATAATTAAAATTATAGCCGATAACTAATGCCGATAATATGAAGCCAGACTGCTTTCATTGACTTAAAAAGGCAGTGTCTATACACTGGACACAGTGGGTGGCGGTGCGTGTAGGCTACCTTAAAACCTGGTTTAGCCGCCAGTAAACAGAAGAAGAACAACACCTGCAGCACACTATCTAGAGGGAAAAACATGTTGTGGTGTGGACATCTTTTACAGTTCCAAAGGGAAGACAACAGGATTGTCTCCAGTGTTAGCACGAGCTAAGTAGCAGCAGCGGCTTACATCCAACACCACTGTGAGGTCAGGGCTATGGAATATTATATTTTCTCACTACATCTTAGCCTATCTTAACTTCACATGTACATAAACTACAGACAATGCACTTCTTTTGAAATAAAAAAATGTGAAATTATCAGTTTTCATATCATTTATCGGCCATGAGAAGCAGGTAATTATCGGTTACCGGCATTGATAGAAAAAAAGCCATATCACTGCATCCCTAGCGAATAGGCTAAATGATGATGTACAGTCATAACCTACCACCACTGCATAGGCCGCTGTAAGCTCTCTTTGTCATCTCTGGAAGGCTTTTAACACTCGTATGTATGCCCACAGGGCTGGTACTGGAAATCTTCCAAGAACACATAGCTGCAATAGTCAAAACTCTCTGCCTCCATTGTCCAGTGTGCTCTCCATTATTATAGACCATTCCCTGGAATTGCATCGCTAGGCAACAGCAGGTGTTCATGTTTACTTCCTGTCAGCTTCCAGTCATTCACATACACATACATAAAGACCCATTTAGAATGATTATGTTGTTAAGTTCGAAGTGGTCTATACATGTTTTTTTTTCCCTTTGTTTGAGGTTTGACTGACACTTTTTTTTGATTACATTATCTCGGTGTGCTCTCTTCTCCTAAATGGAATGGAATTTCCGACACTTACTGCTAATCTCGATGAACCAACACCCAATGTTAGCATACAATAACAGCGATGGATGGAAAAGCACATACATTTTCTCTTGCGGATTGTCTGAAAATTCCATATCTGGATCACATGATAACAACTAGGGCTGTCCCCGACTAAGAAATTTCCTAGTTGACCAATAGTTGTCTTTTAGGGCCATTAGTCGACTAGTTGCCCGCATGTTTAAGATATTAATTTAATTATTAAATGATATATTTTGGGCGGGGCAACACAATGGTTTGAGTTGAAGGTGTGAGAAAGAATAGTATCAGTAACATTGTTAACACTGTGCTACATTACAGAGAAATACAAAACCGTACTAATGAACCTTCATTAATATAGGCCTATATTTTATCTACAAGTGCACGTCACACACTGAGCGAGCCGCCTGTTAATGACGCTGTCGGCAAAGCAGTAATGATCGTGCTAAGTGGCTAATGGGCATGTAGCTACTAACATGTTTCAGATGATACGTCATGTTTGTAGTCGACCAATGAAGATGAGTTTACATATCACCTTGGGTTCGTCCTTCACCTTCTCAAAATGATCCCACACTTTGGATTTCCTGCCCGACATGTTATTAACTAGCCTGTGGAATAGCAGTAGGTACCACTTCCTGTGTCTGTCCTTTCAAATTAAATTCCCACATGGACCAGTCTTATAGGTTTTGATTTATTTTGACAAGGCACAGCTCCTAAGAGAGATTCACATTTGTATTTTTTTTCTGCAACTACGTGGCCAATGAAATCTTGCCGACCTACAGTATGATTGGTCAACTAATGTTTGGTCACCCATCAAAGGGGCAGCCCTAATGATAACTAAACCATTTCTATGAAGACTTAACAAACTATCTGCTGATGAAGGCTAAAAGCTCTGGAAAATGAAACCAAGTCAGTCGACCTTGTGATGAGAATTTGGTGTCAACTACTTTGTTACTTTTCTAATTAACCAAAGTTCCTTCCAAAACCCCTGTATTACACACAAACTTTGGTATCTAGACGCACACACTAAAAGGCATCTGTGTTGACTGTTTTGGTCTTTGACTTTGACCCATTCTCTTCCAGATATCTTCCAGATCTCTACATGACTGAGACTCTTGATTGCCAGACTCTAGTAGCTGCATTGCCAACAGGAAGCTTTGCACTAATAGTTAATTCTCATGGCAGCACCCTGCTGTAATCGCTGTTTGTTCCAGCACTGGACGTCAACCAACCAATTTCTTGTTTAGTTAATCATGCGATACATAATCAGAATTACCCTAAGCTCTGTGAGTTATTCTGTGAAAAGGGATATAGCTGGCTCGCAAACATCAGCTTACACCAGAGCCAAGTGGCTCCCGTCTCATTACACAGCAGCCATCACTGAACACAATCAGCTGAGGACATGACAATATTTTAATAGATGGGCCACAGAGAAAGGCATTTTTTACAAGAGGGGGGATGAGGCTGGCACGTTAACTGACTCTACACTCAGACTGCTGGGAGCCGAGTCACCTTGTCACTGTCCTCAGGCCAGTTTGGGCTATCTGATGGGCAGCGGTAATGTGTTTGTGTGGTGCAACTAGAATGTAATTTATTGCTGTCAGTGGTTACAAAATGTTCAGCATCTGTGTCAGATCATCAGAAATGAAAGGATCCTGCAGGCAGCTGAGTATTAACAGATTTATTTTAGCGTTCAGTTAGCCAATTAGCTATGGGTCTTCTCATGTAAAGCCAATGAGCAGCTCTGTTTCATCAATACCAGCTGGGTCTGCTTTGCTCATGGGAAGACAGGCACCACAGTTTTGTGCTGCAGTTTTTTGATTCACTAATTATGACAGTTCTGACAGACAGGACTGGTTGTGTTTTTCTGAACAGGCTTAGCTGCTGTCAGAAATGTGGAAAGAAATCTATCATGCAAATTAAATGAAATCCATTCGATCATCAGAACAGGAAGCAGCTGAAGTTGCTCGCCAGTGAGCCGCAGACTGAATTCATTCATTTGTTTCATTCCATTTAGCAGTGGCACCAAATCAAAGAACAGCAGATGTAATGTCACGCCACACTGGTTTCCATGCAGAGGCTCATACAAACAACACAGATTTTTTACACCAGGTGTCCTCTGCAATGTTAAAGGACATCATACACACTTTCTAAGTAATTCCAGCACTCAGAAGTGGGTTAAAGATGGATATAATGTCCCCTTTCTGTCTTTCCACTGCTGCCCCTCAGTGGAACCTGAGTTTGAACCAAACAAATCCTGACATAAAAGACACAAGCTGGAACAATCTCTGATTTCCACACTGGAGGAAAGGCAACATCTGGTAAGAAATGATGCAGCAGCACAGATGACAGGTACAAAATTGGCCAAGTCAAAAAAGCCTAAAGGACTTCTTTGAGTTCTGAATGATGCAGATTATGTGTGGACAAGGAAGACTGAAATATTCAGTACTCAACACAACTTGTCAATAATTCTGTGTTTGTGATTATGTAAAGTAACTCTCAGTTTTGCCTCCGAATTAAATATTTACGGCCCCGAAAGACAAATACAACAATAATTGTTGATGTTTTTAGCTTTGCAAAACATTTGAATAGTTATGCTTCTTTTTGTCAAACATTTGGTGTAAATTTGTGTCATTATAAATGTGAATTTTTTATCAGTTTGTCAGTGAATTCATCGCCAACTACATGCATGCAAGCCATACCAACAAAACGCCAATACCGGGTGCAGGACTTTGAAGCCGTATGACCATTAAGTGACCCAAAATATGACAGCTGGGATGCCTTGTCCAGAATTTTTTAAATTGACATCCTCTTCCTTCTGGTAGACTGGCTCACTTTTATGTTATTTCCGACCTCACAAGGGACAATAAGCATCAAAAGAAAGCAACAACACTTGACTTCCTTGAAATTCACTTGAGAGCATTCAACCATGCAACAACATTATGCCCTCTTAAGATGAAGAGTACTCTGCTGTGTGCTTAAAAGGGGACCTCTGGTAAAACCACAAGCAGCAGCAGCCACAGCAATAAAAATTACATATTTCATGAATTGTCAGCGTGCTCACTCCTGCATTTGAATTCAACATTTTGCTGGAGGGAAAAAAAGGAGGAGAGGAGGAGTGGAGGGGCTTTTCAGATTGACACATATTCCGCGTCTGAGGAGGCTGATGGCTGCTCCTTACTGCCAATAATGTGAATCTGAGTGATGCATTTGACTACATTTACACATGGGCGTATGCTTCCTTTCAACACTGAGGGGTCAATGTCTGAAAATCTGAGCATCAAATACTTGATTTCCTGCCAAATTTGTATGCATCAATTTGTGCCATTTTTGCTTCAATTCATGGTTTCATGTCTTTCATTTCCTCAAATTAAAAGTCCTCTTCTACTTTCATTCAATATTGAGGAGGACATGTGCCGTGCTTCCCACAGAAATCTACCCCTGTGCAGCCACTCAGGATTTAAATCTGAAGTTAATGCAGCCAGTGTTAAAGGTCACACAGCTACAGTCCAAACATTACTTTCTTTATTGCATTGTGCTTTACCGACTCAATTCATCACAGTTAACCCTTAAAACTCGATTGTTTGGAAATAAGGAACAAGTTAAAGGACACCTTCTGTTGTTTTCTGACTTTCTAATTTGTCCAAAAGTGGAAATTTGATGACAAGAAAACCTTTACTGTCTTGTCTCACTTGTTTTTCCTTATAAATGTAGTTTGAAACACATATTTATCACTTTCCCTGACACTAACAAACTGCTACTGGACCCAGGTTACACTCACAGGTTGCCACTTGCAGCAGCTTAATGCTCCTCGAGTGAATTAATTAGCTTACCTTGTAAAATCCATAGTAACATCAGCATGGCTCGAAGTCTTGTCTTTATCTCCATGGCGCAACATCCACCGGCTGCTCCAGCGCACAGGGGCTTTCTTTGAAGTTTGTCACCAAACAATCTCTCTCTCTGCTGCTTAATTGTCTTCAGGTAGCAATTAACTGTCCGCTGCACGAACCAGCGAGGCGACGTCTGCAAGTCAAGCTTCCTCTCCTCTTCCCATCCCGCCTCCAAACAGCGGCGGACATCGCAGAGCGCACCGGCGGCTCCGCTCGCCTTCAACTTTACAAACCTTAGGAAGGTTAAAACAAAGAAAAGAAAAACACTCAGGGTTTCTTTTATATCCTTTCTATGTTGAATCCAACCTGCTTCACTTCTGCTCCCTCAGTGCGTGTCGCTCCTTGTCGTCCTGCTCATACAGTAAAACTGTGAGAGCTTATCACCTGCCTGAGCTGCTCGGTGACGCCCCCTGGCACCTAAACCCCAACTGCAGCTCGTCAGTGAACACATCTGTCCTTTATTAGGCAGGTAAACCGTTAATATAAGGACTTTTGTCTCTTTTAATAGACATTTACATTAAATGGCAGCATGTTGCACTGACAGTGAGAGTGGGTGTGCCAAAAAACGCTCTGTAATATGCGTTTGGGTGATCTTTCGCTTAATGCTCTGACTTTTTTGGGGCTTGGTGTACACTTTCTTTATGACAGTTACAATGGCAAACATGTTCATTCACTTTTAAAGTAGAATGCATTGTTTCTTTGCTTGGTTTTGCCTTCAATATAGCAAATAATGTGAGTACAAAACTCTCTCAAGTTCCATCAGTCATGTAAAAACTTATAGGAATTACAGTTTTCTTGAATGCAAGTGAAGGTAACATCCACAAACCACAACCAGAAAAAAATACTGTTCAGTGAGAACAATCTTGGCAAAAATAGTTTATTAAAAATAATAATAGGCTAGTCATGTTGTTTATTTCTGATGTCTTGTACTAAGCCTGTTAGAGCTGAAGTTCATCATTGCTTAGGTGGTTTTAGATTTTTGCGTTGTGGCGGCACAGGCAGATTATGAGACAGTGGGCCCCTGGGCACAGATATGCAAAAGGCTCCACCACCTCCCCTACACAGGAGCAAGACACAGAAACTTTTTATTGTTGTTTTTGTCTCTCTAGTTATTTTGCATCTCTTTGTGGTCTTTTTGTGGAGTCATTTTGAGTCTCTTTCTGGTCGGTACATGTTAATTTGGATGACATTTTGCCAGTAAAGGCTAGAGGGGTCCCTGACACTCTGGGCCCCTGGGCCTGGGTCTGATGCCTGTTCAGTTATCCATCCATGTGTGTTGACTATTGTCCTGTATGTTCTTGCCTTTCACAAAGTCGCTGAGTACCAAATATTCTCTGTAAATGGAGAATACGGTAGGTTTTATTTGTTTTATATTGCCCCCAACAACCAATCGTTTTATGCATCCCATTTATGGGAATGTAGCCCCACAGCACACAGGTGATGTCAGGGTGTCATAAAAAGGTAGCAACCAGCTGCCAGACAATAAGCAGCAGGCATCCAAGACACACAGCACTGAAAAAAAATGCAAATATAGCAAGGCGAAATGTCAAATCAGAGTAAATCTAGGGTTTGCTTTTACTGTCACTTTCACCGGCAAGTGTGTTTACAAATAGTAATGACAATCACACATAGCCACACAATGTGAAAAACCACAATAAACTTAAAATGACTTTCCTGTAAGACCAGCACAAAGCATGTTCTCCCCATGTCTGCATAGGTGTCCTCCACTTGGATGGCTTGGGTGGCTGTGGCTCAGAGGTAGAGCGGGTCGTCCACTAATTGGAAGCTCAGTGGTTTGATCCCTGGCTCCTCCAGTCTGCATGTCAATGTATCCTTAAGCAAGATACTGAACACCAAATTATAGCCCAATGGCTGTTCCACTGGTGTGAGAGTGTGTGTGAATGGTATTAGTAGGGGCACCATGTATGGTTGCCTCGGCCACCAGTGTGTGAATGGGTAAATGTGATATGTATGTATGCATGTGTGTTGACGGTGGCTTTAAGTTGAATATTTTACAGGCAGAAGTTACATCCTATTTTACCTGCAAACATCAAAATAATGGAGACACCCCCTCAGAACGACTCTCAAATACACTTAGTCCCATCTAAATGTAATGTCAGCTCAATCACCATGCATTACCTGATGTATTAGAAAGTCTAATTCAGAGCAGAATGGAGAGTCACAGGTAAAGGTCCCACAGGAATGCGCTGCGCAGCCACTTAAACAGGAGAACAGGAGCTGCTGTGGGATTTTACATTGTAATGTGAGTCTGAGGTCCCAGCTCGACTCACAATAAATGGGTCACCAGGTGAAATATTAATGCAGGTGGGTCGATGTGTTGTATTTTTAATGGAATATAATGGATTTATTACATGATATAAAGCTTCACATGTTTTCAGGGAGCAGTGGCTGCATCGCTGTGTGCACTGAGCTTTACAGTTAAACACCATCAAGCCATGAGCCCATGGTTCAGACACATAAAGGCTGATATGATGGGGCAGTTGTTATTTTGGCATTGTTGTTTGTTTTATTTGTTTTAAGTGTTACTGTCTGACACTGACTTATATTATTTATATTGCTCTCATGTTGTGGAACCTGACATCTTTTCCTATTGTTATCAGATTTTAACATTCAACTTGGAAAAGTTTTCACTGAAAATATTGTTTAAGTCAAAAATTATATTTGTGACTATCTGACTCAAACTTTTTGATTGTTCCAGAGGTCAGAGGTCAAAGGCACGGAGACGCAGCCTTTGTCAATTATGCCCCTGAACTGTGGAACAGTCTGCCTGAGGGCCTTAGGGGCTCTACAGTACATCTGTTGAAACTTTTAAATGTTACCATGAGACACATCTTCTTACCATTGCTTTTGTCTTAAAACGTATTATTGTATTAATATTATTACTATTACTAATATTATTGTTATATATGCATGTGTGTGTGTATGGCAAAGTGTTCAATTTGGTAACGCTTTATATTACAGCCCTGCAAATTAGAGTGTAATTATTTTGCATTTGGGCATATTGATAAAATACTTACTGGGTTTCTACAGTGACCATGGAAGGATTACTAAATGGGCCAACTAGACACAGGCCCAGGGGCCCAAAGTGTACGGGGTGGTGGGCTGGCCCTCACCTGACCAGGGAGAGATTAAAAATGACCACAAAGAGATGCAAAGGCACACAAAATAATGACAGAAAGAGGCTACACAACTACAAAGAAACACAAAAAGACCAAAAAAGACCAACAACAAAAACAAACACATGCGCACACAAAAAGATGCATTATGACTACAAAGAGATGCAAAACAACAGCACAAAAAGAGGTGAAACAACTATAAAGTGTGTGTGTCTGACACCTACGAAGGAAAGGTGGAGAATGAGGCTCTTGCATATCTGTGCCCAGGAGCCCACTGTCTGATAATCCACCACTGACTGAGACTAAGACAAGATGATGGGAACAAGGGGGTAACAACTTTGTGATTCAGAGGAAATGACACTGTGCTGTAAGTATTTTTTGTATGCATGGAAGCAGTATTGTAAATAAAGTCCTGTACACTCTTTGCTGTCAGGTGAAAGTACTTCCAGTCATTCAGAGCTGCTTTACAGTCATCAAGTTAAGCTCTTAGGAAATGCCCGCTGCAAAATACACTCCAGAAGTGCACAAAAGATATATGAATGTTTGTTCTTGGAGCCTTAATACTTGAAGTGCACTTAACTTACTCTTGAAAGTGACTGTTTTTATCTATTTAGGATGTGTTTGGACCAGTTTCTAAAAACTATTTTACTGGCTTGAACAGTAAGATATGGGGTCCCCTGTCTGAACCCTGTAACTGTGTTTTGTTTTTTTTTTTAAATCAAACATATGACTCTTACGTCTGTATTTATGTGTGAAAAATGTGTAAATCTTGGACACTTGCTCATGAGGAATTTAATGTCACTGCTATGTGTGAATAATTGATTGCTCAAGTGTGAAAGAAGCAGCGATATGAAACTGCACAGCTTGCATGTTCCAGCCTCTCTTACCCTGTTCCCCATTCAATGAGCTACATTTCTCAGTAGGTCAGGTAGATTTTAGTAATGAATTCAGCAAAAAATGTTACGGACCACTTCACCACCTGTCCTTTCCTGCAAGTGACCACGTGATTTACGACTGCACAGAAGAGATGAAAAATGTCTCTGTGGAGGATTTCTTCAGTATCTCTGTGATTTGTGACACTCTGAGCTGCTATCTATAGGAGGAAAAACACTCCCTGCTTTCTTCCTGAATATGTTCATTGTTAGAGTTGGCTGAGATGCTGTTATCTCTCAGATAGCTTGATGATCTAGCCTTGACAGTCTACTTCCAGATAGCATGACTGGAATCCTTTGTAGAGACCATTTTCTCCCCATTTCACTTTGCTCTACTGTATTTTCCACTGTCTGAAGAAAGCAACTAGATGGATTACTGGTGCAAAGAGCTTAAATTTATTGATTCTTTTGTGCCATCTAGTGGTCAATACCTGAAGCACTAGTCCTCTACCTGCTTTTTTAATCTTTATTTTTAGGGGTTGTTGGGCTGCAGGTAAAACATTGTGAACAGGTCAGCAGTCCCTCACAGGGCTAATTCATCTTGACAGACAATCATCCACACTCACGCTTGTGTACCTGTTGGCAGCTTTAGTCTTCACTCCTGACCTGCGTGGCTTTGGACAGAGGGAGGAAACACCCAGAGGAAATCCATGTGAGAGCATGAGTGGGCGGATTCAAAGGTCTGGACCCAGGCAAGATTGCTGCTATAATTCTATACTTTTTCTCATTGCCAAACAAGTCCCAAAAACAACACTGTCTCTCAATGCACCCAGTCTTCCCTGCTCTGTCTGTGTCACCCAGCCCGGAGTCTGTTTGCTCCCACGGAGAATCATAAACCACCATTCATTTTTCCAAAGGGCACTTCTGTTGCAGATGAGCAGCAGCATCAAGTATTCATAGTCTTACTTGCAAAAAAGGATTTTTATGTTTAAATGTCAAATAAACATTTAATCAACCTGCTCATATTAATTTGAACTGGATCAGCCTTGTGTAACTGTGACTGGATCCCTTATCTCCGTATTATTTGGTATTATTAGCTCCATTGCTTCCTCTGGTGGCTCCACTTGTGTATTGTGCAGACAATCAGTGTTGAAGCAACAAAACTTTTGTTCAGTTTATGTTTCTAATAATACTGCAGGGTCAGAACTCCAGCAACAATTGTAAAGAAACAACTTTATTATACAATATGGCAATAAAGTTGTTCTTTACACTGCAAGTTCACAAGAGTTCTCACCTCTTCAG